CTCAAGAATGGCCACCAACAGCAGGCTGCCCAGAACTGTAGCCAGACAGCTTTTGGATATCTTCAAGTATGGAGACTTCACAACCTCCCTGGTTAAGCTGTAAAAGTGCCTGGTCACCATCACAATGAAAAGGCACTTCCTGATGTTCAGATAGGCCTCCTGTGTTTCAGTTTCTGAAAGAAGACATTAAAGGATGACAGCTGATTGCTGTACCTCTGTACATTTTACAAACTATCACCGTATTTTCTCTGCCTCTTCCAAGGATACAAACTATCACCATATTTTCTCTGCCTCTTCCAAGGAAGCAGCACCTGAAGGAACTGCTACAGATAGTCACAATTTTGGGATGTCCTATTGGGAGCTGGAAGGCACTACAGCAAAGTGACAGCACTCACTGCAATTGAACTTACTTGCCTTTATGAATTTAGACAGCTCCAAGTCACCCAGCTGCCAAAATGCAGAGTATTAAACAGCTTCTGTTTGCCTAAATGGCACTACCTGCACAACTTATATATGGTACTGCCATTATTTTGAGTATCCCGTACTGTTAATGATGTCTCCAAAACTAGTGCTGCTGGATTTTACTGTCCAAGTGGGTCAATATTCAGCATTGAGACTTGCTTTCATTAAAAAGAGAAATTCATCCTTTGACTACAGCTGGAGAACATTCATAAGAGCTCTGCAACAGATCAAGTATTGGTGCAAGAATGCAGTTTCCAAAACTTGAAAGGTAATAGCCATCAGACAGGATAAGAACTGTCATTGCACAAATAGGCAGTATTGCCTCACAGCCCAACTGGAGTCAAAATAAAGTGGCAATGATTCACCAATAGCCCCATGCTGTTTTTTTCACAAGGCCCAGGATTGTGTGCTCATTTCAGCAACTTTGAGTGAGCTATATGAAGCCAAGTTTTAGCTCCCTCACTCTGCAGCTAATTAGGATGAGGTTTAAGCACACCACCTCTAATATTTTAAATACAGGCTCAACCACTCTAAGCTATCTTCAATAGTATTAGTATCAGGATTCTAAAAAATAAATCCTGGTCATAGTAAAGATTATTTGCAGAGTACAGTCAGCACAATGGGCACCTGGCTCATTTCTACTTTATGAGTTACACAATGTAAGAAAATAGCCTTATTTGAACGGCATTTGTCAAATCTTAACTTTTATTTTCCTCACAAAATAAAATTAAAAATACACCTTGGATTTCTCTGCAGTTCCAGTTTCCACTTCAAAGAATCCACTTATTTATAGCTCAATGTCCTGTTTCTACCAGGACCTGGTTCACCTTCTCTAGCTCCAGCTGCAAGGCAAATCCTTGACCTCATAGTGCCATTAACTCACCTCAAATACTGCAACTCAGCTTCTCATTATAGACCTGACAGACACAGGTGGCCTTGTGTTGGTAACTTAGGTATTCTGCAAAACATTTCTATCCTGCTGTCCCAAGATTTTGGGTAAAGACCATTGCTACCACCAGAAACAAAATAAACTAGACTCCAAGAGCTGCTGCTCTAGGTGGGCTTTCAGGACACTTCGCTTTATGTGGATCTGGAGAAGTTTCCTGAATATAGTGCCCAGGCAGCAGATAAGTAAAAATATAAAATATACCAGGGTTTTTGGTAGTCAGCTCATAACTTCCAATACTTCATTTATATTTTATTGAAATCTATGGTCTATTTATTAATTGTTTATCATACAGTTGCTAGAGGTCAGTAAATCTACTTCTGTTTCTAATAAAACAGAACAACTTAGTTCCATGAAAATACACTTGAAAGGCCTGTTCTTTTTAGCTCTACTAACAGCATTTTTCGGTACAAGTTAGATTTTTGCTTAAAACTTCAGCTCAAAATCCAGCCTCTGGAAGCTACTCAAGTAAGGACATTCCTCAACCCTATCAGGTCCCATGGCATCCTGAGACTAACCAGTTACAGGCTGTGCAGCTTGCCTTTACTCTATATTCTCGATGCTCTTAATTATTCCCCCATCACAAACAACCCCCAACACTTGAACTTGCACACTGGCTCATCACCACTCCCAGCAGTGCAAGACATGCCAAAATCACGGCATTTAAAGAAATCCCAACCTGGAAGAGAAAAGAAGGCATGAGACAGCACCTTTTATATTCTAAAATTCTAAGATGTCTCTTTTAAAATTCTGAATTCAAACTTCAGCACCTCTGTACAGATTTCAAGCACGTACATACAGCTGAATCAATATATACAGGGAGTCTGGTCCATGCTCTGATCCATTCAGCTTCAACCTTCAGAGTACTTGACAGCAAACTCCTTTCCTGTTCTCCACTTTGCAGAACAATAATTAGGCTGGTATCATTTCCTTTGCCTCTGCCCCTTCAAATAACAGACTTGTACTATTTTGGAAATTTGTGTAATTTACTCAGCATGCTCATTTGCCACTTTTCCAATGAGGGAAGGACTGTAATTGGAATAGACACTCTGAAGAGTCAAAAAGCACTAAAAAATAATGCAGCAGTTTAGAGTACGTCTCCAGTGATGCACTGGAAGAGAAGCAGACAATGCCAAGCAGTCATTGGAAAATGACATGTATGAATCCATTTACACAGTTTGGCATTCAGACTCTATATTAAATAGCATCACCAGTTATTTTTCTGTTTCCATTTCCTACATCATCTTCATCAAACACTACTGGCAATAGGTTAGCCAAAGCTTCATCTCCCATTCAAGGCCCCAAGCACTGCTACACACCTCAAGCTTGCCTCTAAAGCCTTACACTGCAAAGAAGTGAGAAAGTTCAAATGCCAGGGTACTGTCAGATCACATACATTTCAGTGCAAGAATAAAGCACAAAATCAGAAGTGCTAAGCTCTTTTCTAGTCCTATCTGAAGGCCACATGATTTCCTGTATCAAAGCCGAAGTGTCACCAAAAGGTCACTATTCAAGTATTACTTGTAGGACAGGAGCTACAACATGCTGCAGACATGTGGCAAGGACAAGTGAGGGCTACCAAGAGGCCAAGAAATACCTTACCTTCAGAACTGGTCAGCTTGACCACCAGGAAAGCAAAACAGGCAAAAAAATGGCTCCAGCTGTAATGTTTCAAAGAGAAGGCCAACAATTCTTCATTCCCTCTGCAGCTTTGCTATCTGCCATCACACCCAGTCCACTACAAAAGGTTTAAGGAGCCTGCTCCCCCCCCACCGCCCCTGTTCTGGGCTGAATTTATACTGCAATAAGCTGAGATTCAAACACGTTACACTTATCCCAGAAGAGTAAGCCTATGCTCCAGTCTGTGGGTTTCCAGTATATGGAGTTTTAACCACCAAATCTGAGTATCTAAGAAGCCTTTATGAAATCTACTGGGCCACTACCAACCCCTCCTCCACCCCCCCACCGCCCCCCCCCCCCCGACACTCCAAAAGGCTATTTAGTACAAAAATTGGAAACTGCAATTTGCACTACATATCCTGCTAGGCAGGAACCACCCCTAAATTAAATACAGTGGGACTTCAGCCCTGACAGTACCAGGTGTTTCCCTATAACCACACTGATTAAACAGTTTGCAGGCACCAGACCTCCAAGTCCTTTTTAGCAGACGTCACACTGCACAACATAAAGCAGCAGGCAATTGGCCAAAAATGGTTAGCAAAAAGGATTCCTTAAACCTCCAGCATCCAAATATAGCCCTAGCTGGTCACATGGGCTGCCATACAGTAAGTGCTCCTCACTTTACCTACCCTTTGATTAAACGTTTTGAGCTAAAAAGCATGTACTTAGAACAGCATTTCAGTTTCCAGCCCAATTCCATGAACCGTATAATCTTGCTGTACCTTCCACATTCAGACTGGCAGAAAGGAAAGGTTGATTCAGGTTTCTAGTGAGCCTAAGGGGGATGATTAGCTAAAAGCTAACAGAATATGAGACCTCTAACATATATGGGTATACACACATATTTATATGTGCGTATATATATAAAAATATAAAAATAAAAGCAACATATCTGCCATACAATGCAGCTACTGCAAAATACTTCATTATTAACATACTCTACGGCACATACTGATCTTTAAATAGTCACACCTTACTCCATCTGGCCTCTAGCAATGTTTTTTCATATTACTCTCATTATGATGAAAGCAGACCAGCTGATTACATCCACCTCACAAGAACTCCACAGCTTAGTTTACACACCAACAAACACTGCAAAATTTCTGAAGAAAGGCAGGCCAGCTACTGTAGCATTGCCAGGTGTCAACTTGAACCGAAGAAAGTTGAGCTTGGCCCTTCTTTTGTCAGCCCTTAAAGCCACTGCCCAAGTTAAGTATTGTGCAGGTGTCAAGTAAGTTTACATTATAAAACCTTGCAACTGCACTAATAAATACAACTGTCACTTTTCCTTCCAAAGCCTTCCCCCCACTATCAGTGAGGATGAAGCCTTGCAGTACTCACTCACGACAAACTTTGTGACCTTTGAATATGCAGAGGCCTGAAGTTGTAGCTGTTTCCCAACTGCAGCTGGAAGTCTGAGGTTCCTGAAGAGGAAAACAGCCCGGCACCAGAGGCAAGGCCTAAACCCTGAATTAGCACACTTACTGCATTGTGCTACAGCAGGGCTTGGTGGCATAGATTTTTGCTAGAAGCGTGGAGACTTTTATCAAACTCAAGCCCCCGGTTAAGCTAGCAGATTCTGTTGCAGACTTAGAAGAAAGCACAAAGAGGCACAGCATCGAGCACGTTCACATACCCACTAGCAGCTCAGCTGCACCGAGCACCAGTTAGTTTCACATTTATGCCGGCAGCCAGGCCGGCCTGCCTGCACTGAAATAACCCTCGGTACCCAGATGTTGCGCTATTTTTACCCTGGAAAAGAAAGAAAGGACACCCAAGAAAACTTCAGAGCGGGAGGCCACGACAGCACAGACTTTATTCCGAGGCTGCAGCGCAGGTTTCGGCGCTCGGCAGCGTCCGGGCTCGCCATCCCCGCAGTGACGTGTCCACCTGAGGCTCCGGGGCCGCCGCCGCCGCCGGAGACAAAGTTCTGTAGTGCACTGACTGCTATCGTACCCAGAGTCGGAGTGTCACAGAACTTTGCTTCCGGAGGCTCCAGTCCTCCGCCGGTACCGGCGCCGGGGCCGCCCGCCAGCACACATTTCCCCGCCTGGGAAGGGAAGGCGCACACGGTTAAAGGTGGGGAAGGGAGCCCCCTCCTCCTCCGCGGCTCGGCGGGACACCCGCTGCCCGAGGAAGAGGGAGAAGGAGGCGAAGACATCTTTTTTTCTTATTTTTTTTAATAAATACCCAAAACGCATCCCCCCCACACACACCTCCCCCGACCCGGAGCTAACGGGCCGCTCTGCGAAAGCCGCGGCCGAGCAGCTGCCCGGACGCTGCCGCTGCAGCCGGCGGGGGCTGCCGCTCGCCGCTGACAGCCCCGGCGCCGCGGCCCTGCGGGACCCCGGGCGGCGCCGGGCATCCCCCCGCGCCCCGCAGCCCCCGCGGCAGGGACCCGAGCGGCGCCCCCCGCCCGCCAGCCCTTCCCCCGCCGACGAGCGCAACAGGTCCGGCCCGCCCGGTGCCGCCCGCAGTCCCCGCGGCGGCGGCGGCCCCGTCCGGTCCGGCCGCGTTCCGCCGGGCGGCGGTGGCGGCCGGTGCCGCTCGCCCGCCCGCGCCGCGCGCCCGCCGCTCCATCTTGACTTTTGCCGACGTGGAAATTTTGGGTTCGGGGACGAGCCGCGCTCTTATTGGCCGGCGGCGGGCGGGGTCGGAGGTCACGGCTGCTGTCGCCGCTCCGCGCCAAAGCCGCCTCGCAGCGGCCCCGCCCCGCCGCCCGCCCCGCCCGCCCGGGGGCGGCGCCGCCCGCGGGGCCCCGGTGGCCGCCGCGGCCGTGTCGGAGCGGGGCGCGGCGCGGAGGGGAGCGGGCGGCGGTGCCCCGGAGGGTGCTCGCCCCGACTCGCCTCGGGCAGCCGCGGAACGGGGCCGAGGGTGCGGGGCGGGCTCCAGGGCGGGCTCCAGGGGCTGCCGCGGGCCCGCTGGGGGCGGGGACGCGGGGCCGGTTCTCGGTGCGGCCCCCCCTCCGCCGCCTGCGGCCCCGCAGCCGGGTTACTGCCCGTGCGGTCCCGTCCGCCCCGGGGGTGCCCGGCCCCGTCCCGCCTGCCGCAGCCCCGGTGTCGCCTCGGCGGAGGTGCTGCCCCCGGGCGCTGAGCGCCGCCGTGCCTGGGCTCCGCGGGCACGTCAGGTGTCCTGGTTTTCCCCGAGAGAGCCGCCGGCCGTGTGCGGTGGTGGATGAGAGCAGGAGAAGTCCCCGGCTGTCTCCAGTTCCCGCTTGGCTTTTGAAGGACTTTAGAAAGGATGTAACAACTTTTACTGAAGAGTATGTTCCCTCTCCCCGAAGGAATCGCTGAGGGCATCTCTTGTCTGAAAACAATGTTTTTGCTCTCTCTCGAAGATTGTCAGTACTTGGTTAGTTCTCTGTGGAACTCATCGTTCGCTCATAGTACAAAATTACCTAAACAAAGCTTTGAAAATAATTCCTGCAATTGTTTTTATCTCTTAGATTGAATTAAAGTCATAAACTGGGTTTACAATCCAGCTTGTTCACTAGGCTCAGATGGAACTGCTAACACCAGTAACAGTTCGAAACACTGATCCAGGGCTCCTCCAGCCATGGAGTAAAAATGCTCTTCCTGTACTTGAGGCACTGGAGTAGTTCCAAGGGAACTGTTCACGAATATGAGCTGTGTGTGTGTGCAGGTGTTCATGGGAGGAGACCCTGTCCAGCAGTGTCACTTCGCCATGAACTCCAGTGTGTATGTGATCCTTATCATTGTGGGATGCAGCAATACTTGTTAACCCAAACCTATGGCTGTCATTTCAGTATCTCAAAGAGAAATATGCTGAAAAATGCTTTGAAATTAGTTTTTACCTCCGTCTGCAGAAACAGAAAGAGCAAACCTTTCCTGAGCCTTTCTGTTGTGTTTAAGAAACGTGTTCCTCCCTCCTTGTCTGCACCTTCACTGTGCTGTTCAGTCATCAGCCCTATTCTGTCTTGCTGCAGCTTGTCATGGGTAGTAGTACTTCCCATCTTCCTGTTACCCCTGTGTCCCTGCTCCCTCCACATACACCTTCTCTGCTAGGCCACGGAGCAGGCCCCAGCTATCCTCTGCTACTCAGCTGTGTGTACGGGAATATTGATTTGACAGTGTGTATGCTCTGTGAACAAAATCAATATTTCAGTAGATTGAGCAGAGTGTGCGGCAGTGTAATGGAGCCTAGCCTGCTAATGTAATGTGCAGGGGTCCTCATTCAGAGATTGAGGTCAGTCAGAAAATGGAAATGTGTTTTCTTATTTTATTGTGTGCTTCAGGTATAATGTAGGCGTTTATGTTCTAGTGTTTAACTTACAGCACACAGTTACTTTTAAGTCATATGCAACATAAGGTCACATATTGCAGGTGACATACACAAAAAAGCATGCCACAGATACACAATCGATTTTTTTAAAGCTCAGTAAGACCCCTCTTACCTTTATCAATCATATACCTATCAAATAGTTGTGAGGGGAAATGCATCCTTTTTGTTTCTGCAAATAAAAATAGTGTTCTATTGTTTGTTGCAAATTTGGCTTCTGATTATGTAATGAAATGTGCAGTACTTTAACAAACTCCAGTATAGTGACATGTATTGAAGAGTATCATAAAACGGGCATAAATGAAAAGAAGGAGGGAGGAGAAATAACCAATGTATGACACAAAACCAGAGTAAAAACTCCCATTGATTTTAGTGGACCTGGGATTTTAGCCAGAATGTTCTCCATGATACATTTTCCACTTTTTAAACCATGCATCATGCCTTAAAATGTAGCAAAAGTAATTCCTGAAATGACATGAGAAACCACTACATTCTCAGGCTCAGAGTCAAGATTAGTGTAAGCTAACTATTATTTCACAGCTCTGGGGACACTTGATATGGTTTTATCTTTACTTAATAATTTTATCTGCTGGTTTGTTCAGAGGCTATTTCTTATCCACCAAAATCTCTCACTGCAGCAGTGAGCACAGATCTATACAACAGGCAGCAGAGTTTTATGTTTGTGCATATTACAATGCTTTGTGCTGAATTTAGCACACATTTCAAGATGCTACGGGGGCCCTTGTGTTCAGTCAAAAATGCAAAGCTATTTATTCTTCCGTCATTCACGTTCTTAATTGGAGGCGGATTTGGCAGTCGTGGCCGGGCAGGCACGCAGGGCTGGAGCTGTAACATCTTTCAGTTACAGCTCTGGTTTAGGACATGACTCGTGGAGAAAGCTTCCAAATGTAAAATACTGCTACCTACAAATGCACACGACAGTGGGACTTCACAGAAGTTGGTTGATATTCTTCAGTCACAAAACAGAGATTTCTCATATATGTTTCACTGTTCTGAAAAAGTGTTTGTTTTAGTATTAACAGCTGCTGGAAACCTATGCACTCACCTCTCTTAAAAACATACCTCAAGACATTCAATATGTCCTAAAATAATTTTGCTATAGTTTAAAAAATAATACTTTTCACAGTACAAATACAAACTGCGATGGAAGTATTATTCCAATTTAAATTAGAAGATAAATCTCATAGCTGAAGATTAAGAAATAATAATTAGTCTTGCACTTTACTTTAAGATCCATCTGTTTTGGCAGCATGATTCCAGCTAAGAAGATTCAAGGAGGTAGTTACTATGTGAGACAGACAAAAATACGTGATATAGGGGATTAATCTGTGATGTTGTGTAAAGTAAAGCTGAACAGTATTTCACAGAATGTTAGTTTAAAAGGTGGGAGAGTTTTATGATATAATTTACATTTATGAACTGAAGACTCTGCTTTTCAAGTGTTTTCGTCTGCCAGCTTTCTGAAATATTAAATTAGGTGTAGGTTTTTGTGGGATTTGTTTTGGTTTAGTCCATTTGGTTGGTTGATTTTTTTTTTTTTTTAAGAAATTAGTACATCATAAGAATTATTATTTCAATCTTATTGAAAACTAGAGTTATGCTGAATGGAAAATTAATTTCCTCATTATTTGGAGAACTTTTATGGTATTTGTACAATAAGTACTCAGCCTAAATTATCAATCAATATTATAGAATGTTTTAAAACAAATATAAACAATTTATATTATGACAATTTGTAGCATTACTTATTGATAGAAGAAAAAAGATACATGGAAACTCAGTGCCATATAATTCTAATTCTTAGTTGGTTATTATCTGAGATTGCTCTTGATTAAATATGATTTGTGTTATATCTGTGTAATTCTGGTCTTTATTACTATAATAAATGTGCATTAAAACCCCATTATAATCTCCTAATTGTGAAATTGCCATTGAGTAAATTAAGGTTATGAGTATTATAATGCAATATTTTACTGAATGTTTTATTTCCTAGTGCTTAAATTTTCTTGCATATTGGAATCATAAAATTAATTGTTAAATTTAATAAATAATGATAGATAGTCTAAGTCAGCAGTAAATCAGAGAAGAATCCAGGTTTCCTGAATTCCTATTCTCTCCCTAAAGAATAGATGAAGTGGATACTTCCTTCTGAAATTGTAGAGATGCATGACTGATACAAATACAATTTTAGTAGAACCTGAACATTACTACAGTAAGACAAGATCAAGTGTCAAATCAAAACTTGAAGATACAAGGACATAATGTAATGAACTTTCATTTGAGGCCAGTAGAAATCTTTCTATTGACTTTAATAAAAGTGTTATCAATTCATAATGTGCTAGCATCAAGTGTATGAATAACTCCATTAGTTAAGCAGCTAAAGCTCATAACAGCTTATATGTTAGAAATGTGCAGAATCAAACCCTGGATGACTCCTGAAAAACCTGCAGAGAGTCAGAAGGGCTCCATTTACATTATAGATCTCACATGGAGTGACTCTGTCATCCACATTTTAAAGAATTTATAAATGGATCTGCAAGGCGATCACTGCAGGGTTAGTGTAACACTATCTGCAATACATTAGTATTTTGGAAAACAATGGTCATTCCAAAATATGCTTTTGTTGAGCATTAAAATGAAATCAGAACCTTTCTGGGTGAAAAAAAATGCCAAACAGGCATAAAAATAAAGCAGAAGCCAGTAA